TCATTTGGTGACTCAGCCAGCCTCTCTCCCACATTATGATCCGGGCTGGATTTAGACAGAGCCTCTTTGTTAAAAATGTACAGGTCTCACTAAGGTGTGTACCAAAACAGGATCTTGGGTCACAGCAACAAACTTGGGAACAGACATACATACATACATACTTATATATGCCTTTTAATGATTCAATAGCAAGGTATTTAAAGTGAAAAATACAAATTCATTTCAAATGAATGCATTTACTGATTACATATTGATCATTTGGCTGGTTTGACTTCTCTCATAGATTATAACATAGTATACCCTGGAAACAATATTTAAATGTAAGTTTTAAAATAATTTTAAGATATATTAATATATATACAAAATGCTGACAATCAGGATCACTTTTATTAATGTAAGTAATAATGAACTCCTTTGCAAAACCATAAAACTGATATTCTGAAATTTTGTGAGGCTCTAAGCTGTAGCTTGTTTAGCTTATGCCTAAATCCGGCACTGAATGATGGTTTTCTGAAAGTACCCACCACATACTTTAAAATTCAAGTTTACCCACTGTGTCCTAAGCTTTTTTTTCCTGAGGAAGGCTGTGCACTTGACCAAGGAGAGATGATTAATGCTCCACTGAGAGCAAACACTACAGAAATCTACCTTTGTAGGTAGATTTAGCAAACATGAATAGTAGCATCCTTTGTCTTTTAAACTTGGAAGGGCCCTCCTTGCTTTCTGTCCTTGTGGAAACAGTAAACCCCTTTTGTAATGGTATATTTATAACTTTGTGGGTTGAAATCTAGAAGAAGCCAAGGTGGCAGTGGAGCCAAGAAGTCACTTTGCCTGTCTATTTTTAGAATCGAATAGCCCATAGTTTATATCAGTTAAGTAGTTGGTCAGCAGCTGATTTCTATGTGATCTTTTGGCCAAATAGAAACGTATTTCTGTTAAGAAATAAATTAAGTTGAATTTATTCAGCAAATCTCTGGAGACTAAGAAGGAGCCACACGGGAGGTGGGGTAGTTGCCTCAGGCCCCCCACATTGAAGGAGGTCCAATTTATGAAAAGAATGGAGAGACTATAATGATTTTCATTCAGTGTATTAAAATTAATCAAAATATAATTTCAATAATTATTTTAGCATTTTTAATGGAAGTGGTTCAGAACCAGTGGAGGAAATAATTACATGAGCATAGGATGAGCTTTGAATCCACTCTGAATTTGGTGGTGTACAAATGTGGTGAAGGAAGGAAAGAGTGTAGAGGGAAGATCTCTCAGAGCCTTGACGATCCTGCTTTGGGGTGAGGCTATGTCTAGTGTTGCACATGAATATAAACAGATTAGTATACATGAGAGAATCAAGTTCAGGATTAAACAACCTACTGACTTATTCAGTAGAAGCCTTTTTGCCTGATCCTTAATGACCTTGAAAAGTGACTTCAGACCTGGTTAGTACATAGGTGGGAGACTGCTAGGAAATACCATGGTGGTTGGCTACGGTTGAAAAACATCCAGGAATAAAGCAGTGGCAAGCCAGGAGAACTATATGGACATATCCATGAGGTCAGTACACGCTGAGTTCAAGTGAAGGGAGACTTTAATGACCTTCCAGCAATAATTATAGCAGTGTTTCTCAGCCTTGTCTCAACCTTGGCAACTTGAAGACGTGTGGACTTTGACTCCCAGAATTTCCCAGCCAGCAAGGGTTGAAGTCCACACATCTTCAAGTTGCCAAGGTTGGGAAACACTGAGTTATAGATTAGGAATTAAGAGTTACATTTCATTCCAGTCACCAAACAAATATAACGTGACAGTATAAAGTGACTGTTAGTCCTTACTCATATTAGCAGGTATTTAAAGAGGAAGACACCAAATGCTTACAGTTACAGTTGCTAGACAATATGAATTTGGATGAAATGTCTTGTCCTGCTCTCACTTCAATAATCAGTTGAGATAGAACCCTCTCCCAAGAAGGAAAATAATTTTTTTTGTTGAAGCAGAAGAAATCTGTAACTTCCTCTCTAATTTTGGCCATTTTTCATACTACATAAGAAGGAAGGCAGAGATGATCTGTTGGGAACGACAGAAGGATTTGAAAGCTTCCTTGCTTGTGGACCAAGGCTGAAGAATATGTTTAATTTTGGTTTCATTTTTTAAAACAATGAGAGCAACATGCCAGCACATTTTTGGAGCACTAAAAAAAGAAAAGCAACGTTTTGCTTAATTTGCAATGAAATAGGACCAATGCTATGGCTTTATATGTAGCTTTTGTTTCTTTCATTTGATGGATGAAAATGGAGCAGTTGTTCTCCACATCTTTTTCTCTGTACTAGGAAAAATTGCATCTGTTAGACTTCTGTCTGATAAGCTATAATGGAACGTTCACCTGTCTTGTAAAACCTCAAGGGTGCTGAGCCAGATTAAGTCTGGAGTGATTTGTTTAGGAGGGGTAATTTTGATCTTTTAATTCACGATTGTGCCATTTGTGTGCTACTGAGGGCTGTGCTAAATATATACGAACTCTTTCTGATTTATAATGTGCTTTCAATTAATTTCAAGCATCTGCATCCCATTAAATTAATGTTAATAATGGCTAGTTGCAGCTGCTGAACATAGCACAGTCACTCTGAGAAACCCATCTGCTAACCACTAACATGAAAAAATCTTCGGATAATTATCCCTTGCAAAATTTTGACAGAGGTTTTTAAATTGTGAGACTTGTCTAAATACTGTAGGACTGTGTCCTTTCAATAAGGAGAGCAGTTATCTGAGCCAACGTTCACCCTTTAAACAGTTTTCTTAGTTGAATTTTCTCTCTAAACTTCTGCCACATGGTGCCAATTACCTTCTTCTTTTTTTTTTTTT